AGGATGCTGCTTGGTGTGGGGGGGGGGGAATAGCATTTCTTTATCATCAGCACAATTTTTTTATTCCTTTTTATGTAGGAGGTAGAACAACTAAGACTGGAGAGGCTCCAGATAGATGAACAGTTGCGTCAGATTGGTATGGGTTTCAGACCCTCGTCCGCTAGAGTTCCTGAAAAAGAAAAGGGCTATACAACTGATGAGAGTACCCTCTCCTCAGTACAAGGTTCCAGATCATACAGCGGAAGAGGGAGAGGTCGCAGAGGCCCCAGTTACACATCTGGTTACGGTGAGTTTTCTTGAACTGTAGAACAGTTAGGGATTCAAGAGTATATTGAGAACTTAATAACTGTTTTTAGACTTCTTAATGCTCAACATAGTTGAGTGAAGGTAGGGTTGAAAACTTAAAATGGCGATTCTATTTTCACGTAATTCAAAAAATTTGATTAGGTTTACATTCTTGTTAACGTAAATCTTAAATTGAAAAAAATGAAAGCAACTAAACTCTAGTAAGATATCCTTCAGCAATAGTTGTATCATACGAAGTTGAGAGTGTCTGTGTAAGAGCTACAGGTGCTCTTCAGGAGACATAAGCGGGGGAAAAAAAAAAAAACCAATCTGAATTGGCATTTGTCTGTTTCAGTTGAGGAGGAGGAAAAAAAGATCATCTGTGGTCTGAGTCTCCTTACAAAGATATTTTTAAAAATTACAGCAAGATCATTTAAAACAGAGGCAATACGGAGTTGTTTTTTGGAATTCTTTTTGTGTTTTGGTCAGGAACTAACTCTGTTTGTTTAAGAGTTAGTGAGGAAGTCTGAACTCTTAAATTAACAAGCAGCTGCTGCTTAGAGGTGCGCATGCCAACATTTTCACGCAGCAGCAGTGCCCCAAGTCAAGACAGTGTGCACTCAAATGTAGAAATGCGTCGCCAAATAAGACAAGTAGATGTTCTAGTAAATAGAAAAAATAGAAAACGAGACCCTATTTGTTGAATAGAATAAATTACTCCTGTGTGTATAGTGCTCACTTTTGTTGCAGAATCTGATGGGTGCTGCTTTTGAGTTGCTTAGTCTGGCACTGATTGTAGCTTAAAGGATCGTGGCATGGTTGTAAGGTGAATTCTGAGGATAATTCCCATGTGTTTTACTTTGCGTTTTAGTTTTTCCTGATGCATTGTTTGACTAAACTGTAGTGGATGTTCTTCAGTTTGTTTATATACACGCAGTGTGCATACTTTCATTTGGGAAACTCTTTTTTTTTTTCTTTTTTTTTGTTCCAAATGGAGAGAATAGTATGTCAGAGCCATACATGTGTAAATGCCTTTATTCCAGAATACTTAGTTGGGAGGGTTCCTGAATGCTTAAATAAATGGCAGGTGTTGGAGTTTCTTGAAGTAGTAAAAAGCTGTTCGGGGTTGTTTGCTCAGGAAGGATGGGGTATTGTGTATATTATTTAACGTATACAGTTAAATTGTTCAAGCAGTGTTACAATAGATAGAAGAGGTTGCTTAGCAACATCTGTTAGCTCTAAGGTGGCAAAGTTGTCCTTGGGAATTTCACAGAAGTTGCCTGGAAACTGCATCAAATGTCTCCAGTGTATATACAGAGAGAAAATATTACTTAATCTTTTGTTTATCTGTGTACATAAATTACATTTTTTTTTATCTTTGAGCCTTTATTTCTCGTGTTACTATAAACAAACATAGAGCGTAAGGAACCTAAGTTTCTAAGATACTAAACTATGTTTTGCATGTACATATAAAAATGTATATATGCGGTACAGCCCGTCATGCTGGTTGAGGAAACTTCTGTGAGAATGTAAAACCAAAATATGATCCAAACTTCAGACTCATCTCGAGTTTTCTTTTTTCTTTCTTGTACAAGGTACAAACTCTGAGCTCTCTAATCCCTCTGAAACAGAATCTGAGAGAAAAGATGAACTTAGTGACTGGTCCTTGGCAGGAGAAGATGACAGAGAGACCCGACATCAACGTGACAATAGGAGACGTCCTGGAGGACGAGGACGCAGTGTGTCTGGAGGTCGGGGGCGTGGCGGACCTCGTGGTGGCAAGTCATCCATCAGCTCTGGTAGTGTGTTTCAAATGTATTTTGAGTTTAGATTTTGTTCCTGGCAACTTCCTGTGTAACCTCTCGCTACTTTAAAATACTCCGTTTTTACTTTATAATCCTAGTATATTGGTATTTCAGCAGAGTTAGGTGACAAGCTGCTTGTCATATGCTGTGTAATTAGATTTCTAGTCATTCGTCCTTTACTCGCGATTATCTTCTCCTTTTCCTTCCTCTACTACACACAGATAATGACATTACTGAAGGTTACTAGAGGCCTTTCACTTATGGTCACCTTTCCCTTTAAGCTTGAGTTTAGATACAAAATAACAAAGAAGTGGTAGTATGGAAGTTAATGCTTTATCAGAATTGGACTGTGCCAATTCACAGCACTTAAATGTAGTCCTGCTAACAAAATGAAAAGGTATGTATTTACAAATTAACTAGTTTGAAGTAAGAGTCCTTTAACTATTTTCTTTGGAAATCCTAATGATGGAGTAATACCATTGCCACACCAGTGTCTCAGAATAGATAGTACTGGATTATAGAGAGTCAGATAAAAGGCAGTATGAAACCGTACATACTCAAGTTTTGTATGTTACACCTTTTTGTAAAACGCTATTATATTTTGAAACGTCGAGTTAAGTCAGCATGGAAATTAAATGTACGTAACTGCAGTATCTTAGATGAAAACTTTCCCTTTTTCATTTAGTGCTTAAAGATCCAGACAGCAATCCTTACAGCTTACTTGATAACACAGAATCAGACCAGACTGTGGATACTGATGCTAGTGAATCTCACCACAGTAGTAACCGTCGTAGGAGGTCACGCAGACGAAGGACTGACGAAGATGCTGTTCTAATGGATGGAATGACAGAGTCTGATACAGCCTCTGTTAATGAGAATGGCTTAGGTATGTATGCCATTCATGTAAGTTTAGCAAAACTCACTCATTTTTGTTAGTGCAGAATCATGTTTCTCTGAAGGTAAAGTTGGCAATCTGTTGATTAAAGGAAGACTCCTACCTCCACGGCTCTGCCATAAGTTCTCTTGTTTACTGAGCTGTGCTACTGTTCTTACATGCCTCTTGTAAAAACTATCTGAAGGATAGATCAAAGACTTACTTTTTGTTTCCAGTTAGTACTGCTGTTTTCAGAAACACAGTACTGTTGGATCAGCGTGCTGTTTTGTCCTTGCTAGCCTCGGTCACAGTTCAGGAAAGCGTCTTAAGTAGCCGTTAGTTTTTCTCTGTCCAGCTTTTGCTCAAGTACTTTCCCTCAGTAAATCCTATTGATATGCACTGGGACAAGAGCGCAGTCAGTCGCTTAATAGCGTAGAAGCTGTTCTTTCGAGGGTTATGGGGCTAGCATTTGACATGTGGTTATTGATTTTAATCGAGGAAATCTGAGGTCATTAAGCATATACTTAATTGTTTTAATGAGCCAGGAGCAAAAAAGTAAAAATCTAGTTTTTAGATTATTGTGTATGCTTTCAGTATAAAATTATATTTTACTTTCAGCCTGTCTTATTTAGCTTACTAGTTTATTTTACTTTTTAGCCTGTCTTTTTTAACAGAAGCAATTTTAAATGCCCCATCCTGAAACTGCTGAAGCTTTTTTTTTTTTTTTTTTTTTTTTTAAATCATCAGAAAAATAGTTCATGGTAAACTTTGCAATTGCAGATGATAGTGACAAAAAACCCCAGCGACGCAATCGTAGCCGCAGGCGTCGCTTCAGGGGTCAGGCAGAAGATAGACAGCCAGGTAATTCGAGTGAAGCTGTGGGTAATATCAGGTCAAAAGCATGAAAGAATGTTTTGTCTGCTGTTTTACATGTAATATATATATATAGCTGCATAATGTAAAAAGGTTGCTCAATAACTAATAAGACTACTAGATAAAGATAAAAGATGTTTCTTGTACTAGGAGAACTTATAAAAGTTTATAATCTAATGAAACTAATTTTTAATGTCTAACTTCTTGCTTGGGAGTATGATTCATGCTTCTGATCCAGTTCTCATTAAAGTCAGTAGCCAAAGTTCTATTGACTTCAGTGGTCCAGGATCAAGACCTATGTGAAGTGTCATGTTTTGCACTCACTTGCATCTGTGCACTTGCGTTGAATGCGACAATGACCTTTTCAGCACTGGCTGAGAAGCAAAGAGTTGGAGTGGCACGATGTAGGTGCCCTGGCAGAGCAGTGTGAGGGAACTTACACGGTATCTGCCAGTCCTGTGCCTGTATCAAACTGCTGCTATCAGTCTCTGGCTTTTGTGAACATCCACAAATTGAGGGTGGGAAGGAGGAGCAATTTAAATGAAATTGCATGTTTTCCTTTTTTTTGTTTGTTTTGTTGTTGTTGTGGCTTGCTGCATTTCCTTTGTGTGCACTAATACTTGAAGTGTTAAAGGTGAACTAGCTAATTTTCGATATAATGCCCGTTTTAGAAAATGCTTGTAAATACATGTCATATGATAGTAACAGAAGGTCTTCTAGGCCGACAGGCTCAAAACTTGACCCATACTTGTTTTCCTTTCATTTGTGGTTCTCATATAGCATAGCATTTGACTTGGTGGGGGGGGGGAAGTTGTTGCTTTACAACAATTACAACTAGGAAAAGGGCAAATGGCTCGTTACTTTTGAGCATTCTGTAGTTTTGCAACAAACTGATGGGAGTTTATAAGGGGGGGGGGAAAAAAAACTTCATCTTTTACTTTTGGCAAACTAATTTTAGCTAGAAACGTGGAGACACGCTAGTCATCTCTACAAAAGCTATGATATTTCTCTTAAAATAAAAAGCGTTTTCTGAAGAACCAAACAAAAACTCCAAAAGCGGAGTTCTCATTTTCTCTGCCAATTTCCTTGTTCTCAAATATTTTTAAATTGAACAGTAAGAGCATTGGTAGTTAAGGCTATACCGTCTTCGTGAAAAATGCTCTACTAATATAATCTGTTCGTAGATTTTTATTAAGTGGAAAGTGAGCACAGTTAGAACGGAAGAGGAACCGACTGTTGTTCCCTAAAAGCTGTTAAAATTCAGTTATTTTGACTTCGTGAAAAGCTTCTTACATAAGCAAGTGTTTAAATTACTGAAGCACGTTGTAAGGTTTAGTTGTGTTGACTTCTGTTGCTATACATTTTTTAGGTACCGCCATGCCAGTATGAATGTTAAGATGTGGTGTTTTACTGTGTGCGTAAAACATTTTGTCTTTATGTTAGAGGAGTTGAGTACAGAGCACTGTTTTAGAGAAATTCCTCTGAGTGCAGAAACTTGCTCGGTCTCAACAATTATGCAGGGATTCAATTGTAAAGAGTCTAAGTAGCGTAACAAAAATCATGTGTTCTGCTCTACATGCTAGTACAAGTCTCTTACACAATCATTGCTAAATCCAGAAAAATAGTTCACCTGAATGCATGATATACTAAATATAATTGACTGTACTCTTCAACAGATAATGCTTGCCGTGTCTAATATGCTTCAGCTCATCAAAAATACAAATGTGTATTTAAACTTGTAGTACTCTGTATTCTGAAAATAGAGTTGACTCTTAACTGGTGTGGTTATGAGAGGGTGGGATGAGACAAACTCAGGCTACAAGAACATTCGCTGAGGTGATAAGAAGAAAAGAGATCAGAAAACCCGTGGCCAGAGTCCAGTAAGTGTAGCAGTAGCAGCGTAAACATGGCTCTCCTGCTTTTGAATGCAAGCTCATACAGAGCCAGTTTGAGTGTCTGTTCACGCATCGCATTTAATCCACCCACCCACCCATAAGCCAGAGTTGACTATGTGGATTGCCTTTTGAATAACAGGAGGGTGAGTTCTCTCGCTGATTGCATCTTGAAGTAACAAAGATTTGAATGCTACTTTATCGTAAGTGATGCCATACTTTGAACCTCCCTTCCCCTGACTTTTTGTATTTTAACCTACCTTCACTGTATTAGTATGAAATTCTTCACTATTCAGGATAGCAAAATTCCAGTAATGAGCACAATCTAGAGTTTAAAGAGCGTTGCAGTCTGATGTCTTTAAGCGCCCTCCGAACCCAGCATGGAAAGCCCCCCCTTTTCCATTAAGATATACAATCAGACCAGAATTATTTCATTTTATTTAAGATACTACCTTCAGATTATTACCTGTTAACCACTGATTTTGGTGAAAATCTGTTAACGGAAACAAAACAATCCTCGTTATTGAAATTGTAACTGCGAAGAAGGCCTTTTGTAAGATGTTTCCCAGTTATAGCGTTAACTTACGCAGAAAAGCCGTATGATGCTTAACACTAAATTAGACTTCTGACATTGGTGTCCTCTGTACGTTTTTCCTTGAACAGTAACAGTAGCTGATTATATATCACGAGCCGAATCTCAAAGTAGACAAAGAAACCCTCCAAAGGAGACACTAGCCAAAACCAAGAAAGAAATGGTAAGAAAAAGATCGGTTTTCTTAACGTGTGTTTCTTTTGTTTCTCTCTTCCTCTGCAGCGGTGCAAAACAGCGAAGAAATGCTTGGCTTAGATTGCCTGCGTTTGAGTACAAATGGTGCTGTTCAAAAATAAATCATTAAAAGCAAAAATGGCTAAGAGAAAACAGAATTGAGCCTTGACTTGCAGAGTCTCAATGCGGATTTTTAGTAACCCAGTGTAATGCTAAAATTGGAGGTCTTTATGCTAGAGTAACGTGTTGACTGATGTAGCATGACAGTATAGAATGTGAAAACTAACACCAGTCTCACTAGCTGAGTCCTGAGAGTTAATCCTCAAAGCATTTTATAAATAGAGAAAACTAGGGAGCAGTTTAATATTACAATCTTTGCAAAATAGTTTGTGCAAGTCACTAGAGTTTTATACTGTAAACAGAGTTTTAATGGGGTAAGATTAGAGTCTTGAAGAATCATATTTTCTCATATTTTGCTAGGCTCAGAAATAACTTTGGCAAGAATTCTGCCAATTTTAATGACAAGTAATGCCACTTGTTCCTTTTAAGGGTAACAGTTTTCAAATATAAAACTCATCTTTTAACTTCTTCATTGGCATAAAAAGGAATTGTGAAGTAAAACATTCTCAAGGGTACCCTGTCTCAGAGTTACCTTTGTTTGCTTTTTGCTAAAGTGTCTTGATACTGAAGTATCCTGTAAATTATAAGATAAATGATGGGATAGGAGCAGAGGTAGACAACAGGGTCTCCCACTGCAAAGACACTGGGGGAGCCGCTGTGAAGTTTGGATTACATCCTGTATCTTTTTTGCTGGAATTTAATGTTGTTCTTTTTCCTTTCGTAAGGCAAAAGATGTGATCGATGAAAACAGCCCTTCTGAAAAAGCAGTGAATGGTCCTGCTACAACCTCTGGGGATGAGCCTTCTAATAAACTACCGCACAGTCCTGATGAAAAGAAAGTTACAGTACAAGAGGAGGGAAATAATCAGGAAGAAGCAGTGCTGAATGGTGTTTCATAAACTGAAGTTCCTAGTTTACAGTTCTTTTACATTACATTTAAAATAGTGCTTGTATAAGCTTGCCAAAGATAGAATACGGATCGCCAGTCTTGACACCGCACTTTCAGTTCCTCCATTTTGGAATACAGAAAAGGGGAGGGATCCTGAAGAAATCATATGTTAAACATACTTTGACACCTACTGTGTTATAAATATATCATCAGATGTGCCTTGAGATAGTATATGTAACATTTAAATAAACAAAATTGCTGGCTATAGGAAATGTTATTTTGTTTTCAAAATATGGCAAAGATGTGAGGGGGATCCCTAACATAATACTCTTTATGAAAGCATTAGCTGCTTTTGTTACATTTTTAATAATATGCAACCACTTCTTCACCTGAGGAATACTAGAAAGAAATGCAGTCTAAAATATTTTGCACTGAAATGTAATTTCTCCATTAGTTTAGTCTGGAAACTGGTCTGTTTTAATACATGTTTTTTAAATGCTGTATGTAGAGGAAAAATCTGCAGACCACTGGAATACATTTGTTAAATTCTCATAATCTGCAGGGATACTGGGTGACATTGGCAGTGACTGTTCTACATTGAGGCTTTGTTTGGTTTATTTATTAAACTGTACAGTATTTAAAAATCAAACATAGCTTTAGTTAACACTAAGCTGAATTAGTCATGTCCATTAAGACATAACCTGAACTACTGAAAGATCAATTTCCAGAAAGTTTATCCTGTACAAACTACATATGTTAGTCCTTAGTAGAGTATTTTTATTTTTGTTTTGGTTGTTTGATGTGCAATATGTTTTTTTTTTGTATGCTGGTAGTAAAAGAAAATAAACTTTGATCTTCCATCTGTTGACTGTTTCTCTTAGAAAATTAAATTACTATTTACTTAAGGCTTTCAAGCTGCTGACGCTATTGAAACTTGTTTGCCAGGCAGCTTGAACCTTTAATTTTTTCTTAGGGTTTTTTTTCTAATATATTCACCTTGCATTCTTTATGGTGATGCTGTAAAACATCAGTTAATACCTCTAAAAACATAATTTTTATCTGGGAGAACTGGGTAACTTGACTAACATACGTAGGAATCAACAGAGACAGTTTTTTAATTGAGCAGCTAGAAGCATGACATACTAACAGACATCTTTTCAGGTACAAGGGCAAGGACAATGTGGAAGAAATAAAGAAATCTAGGAAGCAAGAGAGAGGTGGTAAGAAGCCAGCAAAAACCACAGGTAGACCTGAAGTTATGCAAACTGGAAAGAAAAAAAAAAACAAGTCTTGCTTGATGTGGTCAGAAGTGAGTGATGATCCAAAGTAAACATGTACCACACACTACTTCATCTGCTCTATGAGAGACAGCTAGAGAAGAACAGTGCCACCTAGGCTTGAGCATGTATTTCATTTAAGGATATGTGCAGTTTTCAGTATGACTTATGTAGTGGGACTCATGGACAGCATTTCCTCATGGAGGAAAAAAACCCTCACAGTTTAGAGCTATACCATTTAAGTGAGCATAAGCCTCTTGAATGAGAAGAGGCACCCCAAGAGTGGGGAAAAAACTTGAACATGGTGGGGGGAGGGGGGAAGTTAGGTGTGAAAATGATCAGTATTAGAAAGAACTTGAGTAGCTTGCAAATTTCGCATAGGTGTTGAAAGATCCATCTTCAGAACCTGTTGCATAGCAGTAGTCTATTCCCTCCCATTTACTTTCTACTTCAAGTTCTGTAGTAAAGAACCTAAGGTATCCACCCTCTCTTCTCTATAGTTTCTAAACAGTTTCTGCTCTGTACTGTGTTAGTGATTTGATCTTCTCCTAATACATGGAACACCCCTAGTGTTTTTTTTAAAATACTTTTCACTGAAAAAGTTATAACTAGTCAACAGTTAATACTATAATACAGCTACCTCAAAGGCAAGGTTCACACAGAGGATGCAAGATTAGTTACACCATTCTAGTTGAAATACACAGGCTTATTAAACATGGAAAAAGAGAAGTTCTGAAGTGCAATGTGTAGAAAAGTACAGTTGGTGTTAACTATTACCTATGTTGTACAGCAATTTTTACCTCAGTTGCAGAAATACAAGGTTTTGAGAATGATAAGAGTTTTTTGGCCCTAATTCAGATACACTAGCAGCTGTTTTTCCTGTGTGTTTGGTTCCTTGAAGCCTGATAAAAGCTCAGACAGCTTAAATGGTTTACATAAATCCTTCCTGTTTCCTAAGACTGTAAATGCAAACGTCACTATGTGAATTCTGACTTTGCAGTGCAAGATACTGTAGCTTTATACATTATTTACAAGTTTATTAATTGCTATAAACTAGATTTAAAAAGTGAAAATTACTAGAAAACTTGGCATATTCTAGATAATCATAAGTAGCTGAACCATCCTTGTTTTCACAGGGCATGACAACTGACTACATTCAGTATTTTTATACTTTTATTTTTGGAGTTAGAAATAACCATGTATCTGTGCTAACTCTTCCTGTGCACATAATGCCTTTTAATTCCCTCTCTCCCACAAAACTCTTTGTTTCTTGACGACCTTCTTCATCAGTATCTTCAGCATATGCTAACTTCAGCATATTGCAGACCAGCAGGGTGAACTTGAAACATAGCTAGTTTAATAGAAGTTATATCAACTGCGTATCAGTGTATCTGGTAAAATGCAAGAATAATTGTCCAAACCACCTATTGCATTTTCCACTGTGAAAATAGTGATGAGTGGTAGATTTTACTTCAACTGAAGAGTAACTTTAAAAAAAAAAAACAAAAAAAACCAAAAAACACAAGCTTGCAAGCCTCTTTCCCTCAGGTACCTTCCCAAAAGGGCCTGAGTAGATGAGCAGGGGAAATATCTCCCTGGATTCTTTCTTTTTCTTTTTTTTTTTTTTTTAAAGCTTCATTTATATCAAGTCAGAGACTGACATTGCAACTTTCCTTAAGTCATTTATCAAAAAATAATTGTTTACATGAACAAGCCCACTGAATTATCTCCTGTGTTCATTTTTTAGCTTGGTCTTCCAGTAAGTCTTTAGCTTCGTTGATTTTGGCTGCCACATACGGAGAGCCACCTAGAAGAAAGATACCCTCATGTCACATTACAGTAAAAATGTACTCTTTTGTGTGTCATTACTAGTGCTACAGTATACAGCAAAAAGGTGCGACTATTGTTTGAAAGGTATTCAAGTTAAAGAACAAACTGTATTGCAACTGAAGCTGTGTATATTTACACATGAAATGGCTGCAGTAGTTAATCATGCATACAACTCATTTCTTCCTTTCATTTTAATGGGAGCATTGTTTCTGTTTTTATCAGTCATGAATTAACTGGTCACTAATAACTTACCGTGAAAAAATTTTGTGAATACAGCAATGTTAAATTAGCAAGTGTGCAGATAAACTTCTCCCCCAAGTTCAAGGCCAGAAAATGGAACCACCACTGTACTGATGGACAAATTCTGTACTTGCTATACATATGACTTAAGAGGATGTTGAAGTAGATTCCACAACACAGATGCACTGAAATCATACTTGATCATGAGGTGTACAGATTTGTAGTGTGTATTAGAATTTGTCTGTTAGTTTACTTGAAAGCTTTAGTTTAACTTATTTAGGTCAGGTAAAATAAAACATGTAATATGCTCATAAGAGTCTTTAGGCAGATAGATAGTTTTAGGTTCTATGTATATTCAGTAAAGCTAAATTTGAAGTAACTTCAGCTAGGTAATATCTATAAAAAGGCACATCCTTATTTTTATTCTATTTTATATCCATATGTTGGATTTTAGGGCATAAAAGAAGCAAAGTAATCAACAGTCACTTTAAAGAAAGCCATTTTACCTTTCAAGTGAGGATTAATACGTTGAATGCCAAGCACTAAGATGGATGACTTAAGTTACTGGGTTTAAGCGTAACTGGATTGTGAGCCTTCAGAGGATCGCAAGCAGCAAAGCTTCATAACATGTTTAGTGTCTTCAACAGTAGCAGAAAGCCCCCTTCTCTACTTGCTATTTACAGAGACTCCAATGAATCCAAAGAGAAACCTCATATGACAATGCACAAACGTAACCCTGGTCTACCATCTAGTGTTAATGTGATTTTAAGTCTCATCCTAACAGGCAAATCATATTTTCATCTGATAGGCACAAAAGATAGAGCGAGTAACAAGCTGACTTGCTGAATTTTGTGTGCTTGCTTTAAAGCATTCAAATGCAAAAACATGCTCCAAAACCACAAGGACCGAAACATCCTAACATTTGTTTTGTTTTCATTGTTTTTTTTTTTTTTTAAAAAGCAGACAAGGTATCAATATTTATTCCCTATATGGGTCCACTAATATGGGCCAAAAACCTTGAATTAGGTGAACAACGTGACTCATTTTTACTTACCTTTATCCGGATGATTCAGAAGCATGATCCGCCTATGAGCTTCTCTAATTTTATTTCTATTGGCTGTAGGACTAGTTTAAAAAACAAAAACAAAAAAAGAAAACAAAGAAACTGACTTGAAGGAACCTTACAAACCTTGGGAGGAACCTCTTACCCATCCACTGTGTGGCTTATGCCTATGTTTTTCTTTTCCTATTATTGATGTATAGCATATAAGTGCTGAAGAAGGTTTCTAAGGTTTTTTCCAAAACACCATATGTCTGAAGAAGACATTATATGATTGATAGTCTAATAAGCTGGGTAACATTCACTCACGCTCAGAGAACAGAGAAAAAAAAAACACCAAGAAATAGGGCCAAGGGCAAAATATTTGAAGACCATTTTGGTAGCAACTGAGCTCCTTTTAAAACCAATAGAATTTATCCTGAGACTGCAACATCCGATAGTGGTTCTGGTATTTAGCGCCCACTGATATCTAAGAGAATTACAGCAACTTGCAGAAAGAAGTAGCTATGAAAGACAAAAATCTCACAGTGAACTTCGTAACTGTAACACTGCAATGTCTACTCCAGAGAGGGCCTGCTCTCTCAAGTGCCTCTCTGAATTCATCCTGAATTTGGATGTTCAGACAAAAACAATTTTGTTGTAACAATTTTTTGGGACCCTATTCATTAGAAACTTTCTAAAGGCTCTTGGGGGGGGGGGGGGGGACCCACAAAATTTGAGAGTAAGCTGATTTAAAAAAAAATTTTTGAATACAAACTTTCCAATCGGAAATTGCCTTAAGATGGTTCTTACTACATATCTCATTATCTTATTAGATAAACTTGTGTATTTCATCTTAGACTTAATTTCTGACAGAGACAGCTACCATATTCACCTCCGAAGTTTTCTGGAAGAGATGAATTTACTAGACCTGCGAGAAGGCGTGCAGCACCTTCACACTGGATCTGAAATTCACCAGGAGTAGCAGACATAACCACAAACAGCATAACCGTGCTCCTCATACAGAGTAAACCCAAGACTCCTCGAAAATAGCGGATTTACCAGGACCCACATGCAGCTTGTGAATGTGTTTGGCATTTGTAGATGTATGGCAGTCCAATTATATTTAAGCATGCTGTCATAGAGCAAAGAATCCCAAATAAGTATAGAAAATCCCATAAGCGTACTCTAGATTTCCTGACTGGGGGATGGGGGGGGAACATTCCCAGGGGAAGCTGGGCATGGGACAGTCTTAAGCATTGACAATTTGGGTCCTGTTCCAGCCAGACCAGCAACGAGATAACACCAGATCCTCCTTTGTACCCTACATTTCTAATACATTTCCTTTTACCTTACTCCTAGTATTAAAGCTGCTTCTCGTTTAGTCATTTTGGGTTCAAATCCACCTCTGTAATAACCACTGAAGGCCTGAAAAGGAAGATACATACGTTACTTTAACAAAAATAGTTATGCAAGTTGAACTGTATCGGGCAAAACAATCCATTGTTGCCCTAGTAGCTGCTGAACTTTTTAGTCTATAAGAGTACTGTGAAGTTCTTTTGAACTGGTAATAATACAGCTGAAGTGGAGTAAGACTTGCCAAAGCAACTTCTCTATTAATCAACTACCATTGGAATCACTGAGATGAGTTATATTATTACTGACAATTACGCTTAGCATTAGCGGAAAGTACATTAACACTGTACAGAGACAAAACAGTCTGTAGTTATTTCCAAGAGTCATTTCACCAAACTTTTAAGAAGAGATGCTATAGATAAAACAAAAACTTACAGATTTCGGTAGATTCTGAAGTGCTTGTTTCACTTGTGGCTCCATTTGCTTCATAGCTTTTAACACGTAACGACCTTAAAGAGATTAGTGTTTAAGAAGACTAAGTATTTAGAAATCAAGTTTCCTAAGATTGAGAAATTCCATCTTTTAATTTTGGGATTAGAATGTGGAATAAAGCTATTTTGTAACCTAAGAAAAAATAAACACTTTGATCTTTTGTTTAATTACAGCCTGGTTTCTCAGTACAGCCTCCCCCAAAACAGCATCCTGTATCAGCTATTACAGCAAAACAGGTAATGAGAAGTACAACTGCGTGTTCAGTGTCCCCACATCCTCTACAAACCTGCAAATCCAGCTGCTGCTATGGTCAGGCCAACTGCTACCATCGTACTAGC